TCCTGAACTCCTCGGACACACTCACCTTCGGCCTGGAGGTGTTGTCCCTCTTGCTGAGCTTGTCCAGCTGAGCCTGGAGGTCGGCCCGGAGCTGCGGGCCCTTGGCCGAGGCGACGGCCTGCTGCAGGAGCTCCTGGACCGAGGAGCCCTTGCCCTTGCCGCCGCCGCCGCGCTTGCCTCCAGGGGAGGCCGCGCGCTCCCGAGACGTGCAGGGGATGCCTGCCGGAGGAGGCTTCCTCCCCCCCTCCGACTCGCTGCCGCTGTCCGCGTCGAACCACACGTCGTCGCCGTCGCCGCCCTTCTCCTGGTGGCCGCTGAAGCGGACTCTGGGCACGGGGCGGAACAGCTGCACCTTGTTGCCACATCCTGCACGAGCTGCCGCCTCTGCAGGATCTTATTCCACTCGCACGTGTTGCACTCGCTGCACCGGCTCCACAGAGCCGCCATCGCTGAAACTCAGAGCGTGAATTACCTACCCCGCTTTCGCTTCCAGGCAACACCAAGTCCCACGCGCCTCCTCGTCAAGAGGCCTGACCAGTACAGGCCGTAGTTTGGCATCGCTTGGTATCTCTTGGAAGCGAGGGTGGTCAAAAGCGAGGTAGGTTTGTTTGCCCCCTAGAAACTGCCTCTGTGTTGGTCGATGGCCTTTCAAATCTGACTGTGTGCAAGGCCAGAGTCCCTCGAGCGCCGCGTGGAGGTGGGAGGGCGCCCGCTGCCGCTGGGGCACCACCACCGCTCGAGCCCAAGCTGCTCGAGAGGAGGAGGAGGAGGAGGAGGAGGAGGAGGAGGAGGAGGAGGAGGAGGAGGAGGAGAGTGCCACCAGCAGGAGCGGGAAGGAGGAGTCGGGTTTTTCGCCCCCTTCCCCACCTCCCCTGCAGTTAGACATTCTGAATCATATTCTCCTGTCTCCCCTGACTCTATCCGGGAGATTTGCGGCCCTCCCTTCGAATTGCTTTCGTGCGCAAGGTTTTTCTTAAGCTGATTAAAATGTTGCTCTCGTTGCAGCGTTGGCCTCATTTTCGGATCGGCGTGTTGCTCTCGTCGTTCACAATAGCGCGCTCACCCCATCGCCGCCCACTTTCTGGATCCGAGTCATTTTTCATCGTTGTCGTCTTCCTCACCTCCCGTCCTCCTCCTTCCCCTGGTTTTCCCGCTCCTTCCGCTCTTTCCACTCCAGCTTCTGCTGCTGCTGCTGTTCGTCCTCGTCCTCCTACTTCCTCATCTTTCTCCTTCTCATTCTATTCAACAATAGTCAAATGATACCAGAGAAAAAACCCAATCAGAATTTGGGGGGGGGGCTTTAGGGCTTTAGGGCTATGGGGCTATAGGGCGATGTGGCCATAGGGATATAGGGCTAGAAGCCTTTAGGGCTATGGGGCTATAGGGCTACAGGGCTATAGGGCTATAGGGCTAGGGCCTATAAGGCTATTCGGGCTATAGGGCTATAGGGCTATATACGGTTATATGGCTTTAGGGCTATAGGGCTATAGGGCTATAGGGCTATCGGGCTATAGGGCTATAGGGCTATGGGGCTATGGGGCTATGGGGCTATTGGGCTATTGGGCTATTGGGCTATAGGGCTATCGGAGGTGAGGGGGTGAGATCGAAGTGGAACGGCGAGCCCCCCACCGGGAAATCGGTTTCGGTTTCGTGTTCGTGCGTGCCGTGCGTGCGAGGCGAAGCTGCGTGGGCGGGCGAGAAAAAGTCTCCTGTGGCTGAGGCGCGGCCGGACCAAATGTTTATCTTCCGGGGCGCGGGGCCCCGCGGTGTCCCACCGGTGTCCCGCGGTGTCCTCCTGTGGCTGAGGCGCGGCCGGACCAAATGTTTCTCATCCGGGGCGCGGGGCCCCGCGGTGTCCCGCCAGTGTCCCGCGGTGTCCCGCGGTGTCCCGCGGTGTCCCGCGGTGTCCCGCCGGTGTCCCGCGGTGTCCCGCGAGGATGATGATGATGATGATGATGATGATGATGATGATGATGATGATGATGATGATGATGATGATGATGATGATGATGATGATGATGATGAGATGATGATGATGGTGTCCCGATGAAGATGATGATGTTGATGATGGTGTCGATGATGATGATAGTGTCCCGATGATGAAGATAATGATGCTCATGATGATTATGTTGATGATTGTGACGATGATGGTGTCCCGATGATGTTGGTGATGATGATGATGATGATGATGATGATGATGATGATGATGATTCCGATGATGTTGGTGATGATGATGTTGATGGAAATGGTGTCCCGGCGATAATGATGTTGATGATGATGATGTTGATGATTATGGTGTCCCGATGATGATGCTGATGATGATGGTGATGATGATGATGGTGATGCTGATGGTGTCCCGATGATGATAATAATGACAATGACGATGTTGATGATAGTGTTGCTCATGATGATGATGATGATGATGGTGCCCCAATGATGATGATGTTGTTGATGATGATGTCGATGATGATGATGCGATGGTCATGATGATGATGGTGTCCCGAGGATGATGACGATGTTGATGATATTGTTGATGATGAGAACGATGGTGATCATGATGGTGTCCCGATTGTGATGATGATTCTGATGATGCTGCTGATGATGATGACGATGACTGTGTCCCGATGATGATGATGATGATGATGATGATGATGATGATGATGATGTTGATGATGAGATGATGATGGTGATGATGATGATGGTGTCCCGATGATGATGCTGACGTTGATGATGATGTTTATCATGATGATGACGGTGCCCTCATGATGATGACGATGTTGGTGATGATGTTGATGTTGATGATATTGATGATGTTGATGATGATGATGATGATGATGATGAGGATGATGACGACGTTGATTGTGAGAGCGATTGTGATATCGATAGTGAGATCGATATTGAGACCGAATGTGAGATCGATTGTGTGATCGATTGTGAGATCGATTGTGAGATCAATTGTGAGATCGATCGAATGAGATTGATCGAGTGAGATCGATTGTGAGATCGATCGAGTGAGATCGATCGAGCGAGACCGATAGTGAGATCGATACTGAGATTGATAGTGAGACCGATCGAGTGAGACGTTGGTTCCCCCCCCCGAACCTCCTTCTCACCCGAAGGGTGGTCGTATAGGTACGGCTATAGGGCTATAGGGTTATAGTGCTATAGGGATCTATGGCGATTGGGCTATTGGGCTATAGGGACATAGGGCTATTGGGCTGGGCACCCCCGGGCACTTTTGGGCACCCCGGGCACTCGGGCACCCCTGGGCACACGGGCACCCCCGGGCATACCCGGGCACCTGGGCACCCGGCCCCGGCCACCGAAATCGGCCACACACCTGGGCACCCGGGCACCCCCGGAAACCCCCGGGCACCCGGGCACCCGGGCACCCGGCCCACCTCATCTCAGCTTTATATCCGCTAGGACCCCTACAGAGGCAAGCTCTGATTGGGGAAAAATCGTCCGGGGACGATTTTTTTGACCATTTTCGAATATTTTAGGATATTTTTGGACTATCTTTTAAATTTTTCATCCAAAATCCCCCTGCTATGGGGGACAGGCCCGACTTGCGGCGACCTGCACTGGCAGGGCAGAGAAGGCCGTCGGTGCCGGGGGCCATGGCCAGGCGAGGGCTCGGCGTCGGCACCCCGCGCCTCCCTGCAGCTTTCGCCGAGGTTGGCACCCAGGGGCAGCTGCGCAGGCGGCCGCCCTCCCCCAGCTTCACGTCGGGCCTGTCCCTCTACAGGAGGAATGTTCAGAAATAGTTAAACCATGGCCAGGGGACCTCTTTTTTGATGTTTTTGATTTGTTTGGAGTATTTTAGATATTTCTTTTGACTATTTTTCACTCTTCGTCCTAGAATCCCCCTGTAGAGGGACAAGCCCGACTGAACCCTGCAGCTTTCGCCGAGGTTGGCACCCAGGGGCAGCTGCGCAGGTGGCCGCCCTCCCCCAGCTTGTCCTGCCACGGCGTGCCGCGCAAGAAAGTCTCAACCTGCAGGTTGGCGTCTAGGGGTCGGCTGGGGCTGGCGGTCGGGGAGGGGTGGGACACGCGGGGGGTGGCGGGGAACTCAACGTGGGCTGAGTCGAAGAATTGGTAAGCCCATCTTGACCCTAGTCTCAGGGTAGCCTCTTCCCGTTCCTCTGCTCACTTTTTTCTCCGTCCTTGGGGGCAGGATCGGAGGAACCGAATGCGGGCCTATCCAAATAACGAGCTGGCCAGATAGAAGTTTGGCAGACGCTCGCTAGTCTAGCAAGAGGCAGTTGTTCAGACGTTTTCTCCTTCACCTCCTTCTCCTCCTCTCTTCCTCCTCCCTCCTGCTCTCCCCCTCTGGGGTAGGGTTTCGGTGGGCCCGCATTTATCGGCAACGCTTTGGACATGGTCCGAAGCTCGCCTTCCTTAGATCCACCCAACGAAGCGGAGGTCAACAAAGGTCCTCCTCTCCCTCGTTGTCCTCTGCGGCCTCCTCGTCGCCCTTGTTGGCCTCCTCCTCCTCGTCCTCGTTGTTCTCCTTCCCCCCCCTCCCGCCCTCCCTCCCTCCTCCTCCTCCTCTTCCTCCCCCTCCTCCTCCTCCTCCTCCGCCTCCTCGTCCTCCGCCTCCTCCTGCTCCTCGTCCACCTCCTCGTCCTCCTCGTCCTTCTCCCCCGCCTTCTCCTGCTCCTCCTCTTCCTCCTCCTCCTCCTCGTCCTCCTCCTCCTCCGCCCCCTTGTCCGCCTCCTCCTCCTCCTCCTCCTCCTCCTTCTCCTCCTCCTCCTCCTCTTGGTCCTCCTCCTCTTGGTCCTCCTCCTCCTCTTCGTTCTCTTCCTCCTCCTCCTAGCCTCCTCCTCCTCCTCCTCCTCCTCCTCCCTCCTCCTCCTCCTCTCCTCCTCCTCCTCCTCCTCCTCCTCCTCCTCCTCCTCCTCCTCCTCCTCCTCCTCCTCCTCCTCCTCCCCCCTCCTCCCCCCTCCCGCGCCCTGGCCCTCGCCCCCGCCCTCGCCCCGGAGAGACCCGCCGGCCAGGCCGCCCACGCCGCCGCTGGCGACCCGCCGCCCTCGTCGCCGGGGCCGCCGTGGCAGCAGCACCAGCGGCAGCAGCAGCACGACCACCGCGCGGCGTACGGCGCCGGGCAGGAGGCGGCCGAAGTCGCCGCCGCGGTGCTCCGATGGGGCCGTCGCTCAGAGGAGGAAAAGGTGCGCATACTGCCACCCTATACCTCCCCTCGTCGTGCGGGAGGTTTTTTGCTATATTTGGCCTCTGGGAGCCCCTCTCGGGCCTCGGGACCGTCACAAAACGACTCAGGATGAAAAGCCCGTCCCAGGGAAGGGGTCCAGACTGTGGTCGACGTCGCGAAAAAATCACAACGTCGGAGGTCTGGGACTATTTCCTCGTTTTCCTCTGTTTGGGTCTGTTGGGAGGCCCTCGTCGCCACCGCCGGATTCGCTTCGAAGTCCTGGTCAGAGCGCGCCCCAGGAGAGGTCAGGAGAGCAGCGGTATATCGATCGGTATACCCGTTGGTTTCCCCAGTCGCCGTCGTCGAGTGCGCAGTCGAGGCGCTTAGGCGAGGGCCGAATTGGTCTGGGCCTCCCAGATGGGGCCCGAGCAGATGGGGGGGTCGGAGGATGGCGCCGCATCGCCGATGCATCGCCGATGCTCAGGGGAGGAAAAGGTACCTATACCTCTACCCTTTCCTCGTTTCCCCCTTTTTGGGCCTCCTCGGAGGCCCTCGTCGCCACCGCTGGATTCGCATCGAAATTCTTGTCAGAACCCCCCCCCCAGAGAGGTCCAGGGAGTAGCGGTATCCGCACTTTTGGTTTCCCCAGATGCAGCTCGATGTGGGGCCCATTTCTCTCCACGCCGGCGGCGCCGATGCATCGCCGACGCCACCGATGCAGCGCGATCCTCCGGCCCCATCTGCTCGGACCCCATCTAGGAGGTCTCTGGTTGGGCACAGGACCTTGTCGTTGCCCCTGATACAAGAAGGAGGAGGAGGAGGAGGAGGAGGAGGAGGAGGAGGGGGAGGAGGAGGAGCAAGAGGAGGAGGAGGAAGAGGAGGAGAGGGAGCAAGAGGAGGAGGAAGAGGAGGAGGAAGGGGAGGAGGGGGATCTGGTTCTCGTGTCGTTCTTGACGCCCAGATCGGGGAGCCTGTCACCAGCATCGTCTGGCCTGTCCCCGTCCCCAGGGGGCCACGGGCCACGGTGTCTCGGGCCAGCCCTGTGATGTCGGCCCCGCCGCGGCAGGCCCCGCGAAACGCGAAGGACGAGGCATATCTGATCCCAGTTCAAGGGTTCACATGCCCCTTGGCATCGCTCGGACGTGTGCATTTTTCCTTCGGCGACGACCATCGAGGAGCATCCTTGATCATTTGGCGAAAAAAACACGCACGAAACCGAAAAAAACAGGGAATGGACGTCCGAGCTATGGCCAGTATACGATCCCAGTTCAAGGGTTCACATGCCCCCTACCCCCCTGGATGGGATGGGCCCCAGGGCTCCACAGGCCCACTCTCCCAGCTGGGATGGGGGGGGGGAAACGACGTAAACAGGACCCGAGGGCCGCCGGGAACTGGGCGGGGCCGGTTTGGGTCGCTCCCGTTCCTTCTTGGCCTGGGCCCCGGGTCAGCAGTACAGTTTTCGTATCTCATGGTTTCCTGCTTAGTGACCGTGGGTGTACAAAAATCGGGGGTCCTCGCGGATGGCTTGGATCGGCGCGTGGGGCCCCCTGGTGGCGCTTCCGGAGCCGCCCCCTGGCGCGCTCCGCGCGCAGGGGAGGGGGGTCCAGCGCCGATCCTAGAACTCCGCGAGGACCTCCGAAAGTTTGTGCTTGCGCAGTTGTTGTTCCTCCTCTCTCGGGGCGTCTTAGGGGGACCTTGGGGGTCCGCTTTGGACAATCCCGGAAGGCATCGCTCAAACAAGGGTGCGGCAATGATGAAGGCCCCCCCAGCGGAGCATGACAAATCACACATTTAGGCCTTCATGGGGCGCTCTTGGGTGCTTTTGGGGCCATCTTGGAAATTTTGTGGACCCCTCTTGGGCGATCTTGGAGTTATCTTGAGGCCCCAGAAACCCATCGGACGCGAAACAGCGAGATGGCCAACATCATAAGACAATGTTGGGTTGTTGAGCGATTTGTTTTTCGGGCCTCTCGTTGGGAAACTCCGATGCCATTTCGAGCAGTCTCCAGGCCGTCTTGGGGCTTCCTGGAGGCGTGCTGGGGGCCATTTCGGGCCACTTTGTAAGACCCTGCCCCATCTTTGGGAGCCGCCTCGGGCAACAGAGCAGGAGGATGAGGAGGAGGAGGAGGAGGAGGAGGAGGAGGAGGAGGAGGAGGAGGAGGAGGAGGAGGAGGAGGAGGAGGAGGGGGAAGGATGATGATGATGAGGAGGAGGAGGAGGAGGAGGAGGAGGAGAAGGAGGAGCAGGAGCAGGAGCAGGAGCAGAGGAGGGAGGATGAACCGCAGGCCAGCCACCAGGACCACGCCGTGGAGCCGCCGAGGCAGGCACCGCGCGAGGACGGGCTCGCCGCCCGTCGTCGCGGCCCGTCGTCGTCGTCGTCGTCGTCGTCGTCGTCGTCGTCGTCGTGGTCGTCGTCGTCGTCGTCGTCGTGGTCGTCGTCGTCGTCGTCGTCGTCGTCGTCGTCGTGGTCGTCGGCGTCTTTCTCGAACGTAATCGTCGTCGTCGTCGTCGGCGGCGGCGGCGGCGGCGGCGGCGTCGTCGTTCTCGTCGTCGTTCTCGTCGTCGTCGTCGTCGTCGTCGTCGTCGTCGTCGGCGTTGCGCGTCGCACGTCGCACGTCGCACGTCGTCGTCGTCGTCGCCGCACGTTGTGCTTCGCGTGCTCCTCGTCCTCCTCGTCCCCCTCCACCTCCCGCTCCTTCGTCGCCGTCTCTCTATCGTCGCTGCCCTGCTGCTCCTCCTGCTCCCGCTGCTTCTCCTCATTGTTGCCCTCTTCCTTGTCTTAAGTCGGGCATGCCCCTCTACAGGAGGGGTATTCAAAATGCTTGCCTGCCCTGCCTTCCTGGCCCTTCTTTGTCTGCTCCTCGTCCTGCCCCTTCCCGTCGTCTTCCTCCTTCTGCTCGTCGTTGTGCTCCCTGTTCTCTTCGTTTCTTCTTCTCCTCCTCGCCTCAAGCCGCGTAGCACCCCTTGGTGGCTACTCAGACCGACGACTCGACGACTCGAATGTTTGAAGCCGCCGTCCGCCAGAGCTTTCGAACCCTTCCACGGGTGCCAGTTTTTCATCCCGTGGCGATTTTGTTAGTGTTCTGGAGGAGCAGCCCCCAGACGCCGACGAGTCGGGTCTCAAGAGACGGGGGTCAATGCGAACGGGGGTCAGTCACAGCGCCAGATCTTGCAGGATCCTGCAGAGCCAGGGGCGCACTGACCCGGGCTTGGGTGCAGGACCCTGCAGGACCCTGCAGGATCCTGCAGGATCTTGCAGGATTCTGCAGAGCCTGACTGACCTGGGTTTGAATTGACCCAGGTCAGCAGATCCCCGACGCCGAGAATGGCGAAACAGGTCGGGCGGTGCATCTCGGCTCGCACGAGTGTGCCCAAGACGGGCCCTGCCAGGCTAGGGAAGGTGTTACGGGTATGCTGGGCGCACTCCTCGCAGGAGGCCAGGACCCTTCCTTCCGGGCTCGACGACACGTCGCCTGTCGACTTTTGTGGGGATCGAGCCAGGGAGAGCCAGGTAAAGGCAGATGAATCGAGGTACATCCAGGCAGATCCAGAGATCTTCAGCGAATGTTGAGCAAGTCGTGGCCGCTCCAGCGCGAGTCGAGGGACGGCAGACGTCGTTAAGCCTCGAAGGAGTCCGCAGGGATCTCTCCGTCGGCCCACAGTCGATCCATGACGTGGACCCACGCAGGCGTCTGGACCCCTTTTCCGAGGGCCGGCTTTTCCTCTCGAGTCGTCTCTGGACGGCCCCGGCGCCAGACCATGGTCCCCAGGTGGCCGAGGATGGTGAGAAACCCTCCGCCGTGATGCTTTGACGACGCGAAGTGGTCCGGGGAGGTTCGGGCAGAAGGATGCAGGTCGCTGACTTTTGTTGGGCAAGGAGTTATTTTTCATTACCAGTGCTGGGTCCCTTTTCTCTGGGCTGAGAGCCGCCTGAAGCTTTCGAGCAGTCTGCAAAGGTCCCCTCATGGCACGCCCGTCTCCAGAGTGCCAAGGGCAGCTGCCGCATGGGGGGTCCACATGTTTGCACTTTCTCGGTCCTCGTCTTAGCCCAGGACAAACTTACGTCAGCGGCGAGGCAGAACTGCACCAGCGAGCGGCGACCCCAGTCAACCGATACGCGAATTGGCTGGCGTGCAAGAGGGGGGAGCTAGACAGACGGGGCGGCCGCGAATGGCAGGATATGGCGGAGGACACCCAGACGCAGAATAATTCCATGAGCCCAGGACACACGAGCGCAACAAGTGCAGCAAGGGCAGTGGCGCCCTCGTCCTCCTCCTCCTCCTCCTCTTCCTCCTCCTCCTCCTCCTCCTCCTCCGCCCGAGCCACCGCCAGGACATGTCCATATGCCGACCGCTCCGGGGAGAGAGTCGCCGCCCCTGGGCGACCCCCGCGGAGTGGTGGTGGCATGGGCAACTCGTCCGCCGCCGCGGCCGCGGCAGCGCCATCCGCACCCGCCGCCCCCCTTCGGGAGAAGGAAATGCACCACCACCACCATCCTGTGGATCCGCCTCCTCCTCCTCCTCCGTAGCCATTTTGGCTCAAGCTGCCATCTCCTCAAGGCAGCTGGCCAGGTCAGAGCAGGGCTGCTCCCGACTCGGCCCGCGACACAAGGGTCGGGGGTTGACCCTTTTCGCTCAGTGAGGCATTTTGCCAACCTGTTTATTCTTCACGTGCACCACTCCTGTCTCGCTCACTGGCAGTGCAATGGCCGCCGCAAAAGTATCCAATGCTCAGCTGCTTCAGGTGCTCGAAGGTATGAATGGCGGCATGAACGCCATGAGGGAGGACGTCAAGGATGTCAAAGAACGGCTCGCCGTAGCAGAAGGACTCGAGGAGAATTTTTGGGATCTCGAGGTCGCAATGGAGGGCAGGTTCGACGAGGCCAAGGCCGCACATGAAGCGCTAGTTCTCGACATGGATCTACGAGTTTCTCGACTCGAACATGCTCATCAAGAAGCCGCCACCAACGCAGCCTTCTTCGACACCGAGGACGGCAACCCCACCGCCAAAAATGCAGGGCTCGAGATTCAGCGCCAGACGAACGAGAAAATGGCCAGGCTCGAGGCGTCCCTTGCTGAACTTCAGCGTGCCCAGTCTGATGCAGGCTCCGCTTCGACACGTCCGCCGCCCAAGTCCCGCCGCCTGGGAATGGGCGCCAGCGTTGGCTCCAGCTCGTCCGAGATTCCCGTGATCGACCTCGCCAGCGACGAGCACAACCATATCGACCCGACCAGACGCTGGATCAGTGGTTTTCCTCGCCCAGTCACCGAGCCGTACAGGCGCACCGTCTTCAACCAGATGAAAGGCAGACTGCAGACTTCCTGCCACCATTCGCGAAGGGATGGCAGGACACTTCCACAAAGTCTCGCAGGCGTTCGCCATCACCTTCAACTCCGAGCAAAAGGCCCGCGACTTCCATGCGAATCCCGTGACGTCGCAGGACTACCGCAACACCTCCCTTCACCCACTTCGTTGCCGCAGAGACATGCCGTTGCAGGCCCGCCAGAAGAACCGCGTCCTGAGTGCTCTCTGGCCGCTCGTCCGCAAGCACCTGGGGAACGCAGGCAAGTGGAGTCCGACGGTCAAGATCGGCACCAACCCGTTCAAAGGCGCGTTCAGCATCACCACCGAGGACGACCACTGGGATATCTTCAAGTTATCCGACGCTCCTGGAGGCATGTGCGAGCTGAAACCGATCAGCGACAAGCTCTCCGAATGGCGCATCCCCGAGACGACCGCCAACTGGGTGATCGAGCAGGCCCAGGCCTCCGTCCAGCAGTACTGAAGTGACGCCAGCCTAGTATCGTGTGCAAGTTTTTCGTATTTTCCCGCTTCTTCGCTGCCTCTGCCGCCCGCTTCTCCCCCCGCTGCCTCCGCGTCCTCTGCCTGTTGCTCACCTGTTCTGTCGAATGCTGGGTTTGGGGCCCAGCCGCCTTCGCCTGAGGACCCAGCGGGTTCTCGCTTCTCTTTTCCGCCGTCCCTGGCCAATGGCCGAGGTATTCGGATTGCTACCTGGAACTGTCATACCCTGTTCGGCGCGGTCTCTGGGGACCACGACGCTCAGGTCAAGACCTTCGACCGACTCACTAACCTAACTAGAGCAAACAATATCATTTGCTTACAAGAAACGCACGGCCATGAAGGGGGTCGAGAGTCTTTGCGTACCGAGTTCCCTGGCTTTGAATCCTTCTGTACGTTCTGTCCCGACAGCCACGCTGGCGGGAACACGATTATGCTCGCTCGCTCTCTTCTCGCTCTGCTTCCTCAACATCACCATGCTGTGGTTATTCCTGGTCGTCTCCATGCTGTCACTATTCAGTCTGATTCTTTCTCGCTTACCGTCCTGAACCTCCACCTCGACCCGAGTAGCCGCCGCAGAGAGAGATCCATAATCCACTGCATGTGCGCCGACTTTTTGCATGCTGTCCAGGGCCTCTTCTTCTTTGTTGGGGACTTCAACTTTTGCGAGCTGGCGAGGGCACCCAGCGAGTAGACGGCTCTGTGCAGATCATCAGCCCTGACTCCCTCGCTCACAAGTTCTGGTCTTTATTGCCTAATGTTATGGAAGGTTACCAAGAGAATCCGACCCACCACGCCACTCGGAATGGGAATGTGGTTAGCGTGTCCAGCATCGACCGTATTTACACCAACATGTTCACTGGTGACCTCCTGGATTTGAAGCCGACCTCTGGGACCTCCTGGAATATTTGTAAAGCCGACTTCCCGAGCGACCACGCGCCGGTGGACCTGCGTCTGAACGGAGGTGGAGACAACCGCGCTCGGGCCGTTGCGTCGTGGGTCTCTCGCCACCCTCTGCATCCGATCCTGCTCGGAAAGCTGATCAACGAGCACGGGGTGCGCGAAGATAATCCCCCGCTGATGATTGAAGAGCTCACTTGTCTGATGCACGAAGCAGGCCGCCTCGTGCAGCATCGCCTTTCTGAGCTTCCGCCCAGCTCCGCCGAGCAGCATCTGCAGTGGCTGTTCGCGGTGAATCGCGCCATGCGGGGCCGCAAGATAAGCTCGCTGAAGAAGGCTGTCAAGGCCATCCCCGTGCTGCTCAACTTTCTCGACCCTGACAGTGGCAGGTGGCACAGCCAGCTCGCCTTTCAAGAGTATATGGCCAAGGTTGCTGCCGCTCGGTACCAAACAGAATATGAGGAAATCATCGGGTACACCACGGCATCCCCCCAGTTTTATGAACGCCGAGCTGCGCGTCTTCAGAGATTGGCATCGGCCTGGTCTCCGAAGAACCGGAGAATCTTCCTCACGGGCATCGCGGATGCCGACGGAAACGCTTTCCCGACTGTCGAGGCTGGGGCTCATGCTCGCGCCGCTCACTGGAGCCAAGTTCACGCGTCTGTTTCATTTCAGACTGCCGCGATGGACCAGCTAGAGGAACATATTCAGAAAGTTCGAGAGGCCCAGATTTGGAGGCTTTCCGAAGAGCAGTTTTACTTTGTTTTAGATCGGCTTCGCGATCCCGCCCCTGGTCCTGACGGGTTATGTTACTCTGCCTGGTCCAAGGGCAATTTATTCGTTAGGTGGGCCGCCTTCGCCATGTGCCAGCATATCTTGGATTTCGGCCAGGTTTCGCACGATTTCAACCTCAGTAATTCGGTCTTCCTTCCCAAAGGCCCCCTGGGCCGCGACGGGCTCGAGCTCTGGGGGGCCCCCGAAATGGCCCGTCCGATCTCCCTCTCCAACTCGATCAGCAAAATTGTCGTTGTCGCGATCAATTTCCGCCTGGAAGAGGTTTGCGTGGACGCCGCCATTGGGGCCCAAAGGGGCTTCGTCAAACGCCGTGACCCGTTAGACAACCTGATTGAGTTTGAGACGCACGTGGTCGTAGGAGCAGGCCTACTGCGGCGACGGTCAGCAGGCGCGATCCTGATGGACATTAAGGCCGCCTTCCCCAGCTTATGCCACGATTGGATCTTTTTTGTATTCGAGAAAATGAACTTCCCCGAGTTTGTGCTGAATGCGATAAAGGCGCTCTACGCCAAGGTGACAACCACCATTCTCCTGGGCGGGGTGTCTCATTGCTCTCTTCGTATCCTCCGCGGGATTAAGCAAGGTTGTCCGCTCTCGGGAAGCGTGTTCGCCCTGGGGTTCGATCCGATTTTACGTCTGCTCTGTCTTCGGCTGCCCCGACCTGTCCACTTGCACGGCGCCTTCGCTGATGATGTTGCCTCCGCCGCCATTGGCATCTACACGGCCGTGCCTATTTTCATGAAAATTATGATGCTCGCAGGGCTCGCCGCTGGCCTCTTCCCGAACCACATAAACGGTGGTCCTATTTTACTGCGGCTTTAACAGGGAGGAGGAGGAGAGGAAGTTCCAGCAGCAGGGGATCAGGGTTCGTAGCTTCGGGATGGCCAAGTGCGCCAAGTATCTTGGAGTTATGTGCGGGATAAGATCCCAAGAGGAGTCTCGGGCCGCCCCGCTGGTCAAGTTCCGAGACCGCTGCCGCTTCATTAAGTCCTTGAAGCTAGGCCTGTCGATGTCTCTAGTGGCGTGCAACCAGATAGCGGTCGCTGTGCTCACGCACATCACCCAGTTCTTTCCGCCTACGGCCGACTGTTGCTGGCAAGTGCATCTCGGTCTGCAATCGTTAACATGCGCTCCTCGGCACGCCCTATCTGATCACATGCTGGCGGGAATGAAGGCACTCGGGGGAAAGTTATCTCGGGCCAGGTCTCTCACGCACGAAGCTCGTGCCGCCGCGTATCGTGCCACGCTCGCCTCTTCGGTCTTTTTCGCGTGCATCGAGAAAATTGAGGACGCGTTCGAGGACCCCGAATGCCACCTGGATGCCCATCTTCATCCAGTTTATACCAAGTCTTTCGTGTTACTGATGACCCAGAACTATCGCGAGTTATCCAGAATTCCGTCCGCCCCCACCGTCTTCGAGCATGGGCTTCAGAAGAAAATGACCAAACTTGTTCTCTCTCACCATCCCCTGGTTCCGTTTCCTGAGCTTATTCTGAGGCGTCTGCAGTATTGGGTCTCGAGGTTTCCTGAAGCTGGCCAAGTTGGGGCTCCTGAAGCTCAGCTGTGCTTCTCTCGGCTAAAACTGATTGGTCAGCATATTGCTCCATTTGTTCAACTCAGTCTGTTGCGCAGTATATGCAATGCTTGGAATGCCTCGCGGAGATACCGCCAGGCCACCCTGGGGTGCAGGTTCGGATGCCAATGTATTGCTGGCGACCAGCTCGTTCACTATCTTGTCAGTCCTGTTCTCCTCGAAGTGATGCGCGCTAATCTGCCTAGGCTCCCACCTAGGTGGGGGGCGGAGGTGTTTGCTGGGCTCCTACTTTTTCCTTTGCCTCTCTCGTGCGAAGAAGCGATCTCCATTGCCATCGCACGCGATGTATTATTAAACACGTTTAATAAGCTTAGATCTGAGGGGGCCCAAAGCGCTTCTCGAGCCATTCGGCTTGCAGCAGGCCGACTCCGCCTTATTTGCCGAAGGGATGCCAGGGCGCGTTCTCTGGCGCGGCGATAGGGCTTCTGTCGGGTGCGGGCGCCTCGGATGACCTGCCAGTTGGGATCGGGTCTCCTCCTCCTCCTCCTCCTCCTCCTCCTCCTCCTCCCCCTCCTTCTCCTCCTCCTCCTCCTCCTCCGCCCCTTATTGGTCAGGGGTGGTGGAGGTGGCGGTGGTGTACGTCGTTTCGGGCTCTCTCGCGGGACATCGTGCACACCCGAATTCGCCGATGCGTCGGCGATGCGGCTCAATTGCGGAGTCCGCTTTTCTCTCGACGCCGACGGCGCCGAGGCATCGCCGAGGCATCGCCCGGAGGACCCCACCTGCCCCCAGATCCCCGACGTCGTGATCCTTGCCCGGCGTGGACCCCCACGAGGTCGGGACCCCTCGCCGGGGGCTGGCCTGCCATCCCGAGGCCTTCTCGACGGCCCCGCTGCAGGGGCGCCCCCAGGGGCCGACCACAGAGCAGGTCGAGAGCCTCCCGCCGTGATGTTTTTTGGGGGCACGACGCGCGGGGGCCTCTGGGCGCCAGTGGGGCCCCCCTTACAGGAGGCCACGAGTGCCTCCTGCAAGGTGGCGAGGGCCGTGGGGGAGGGGGGAGGGGGAGGATCCCCTGACCTTCCATGAGGGCCACAAAATAACACCAGGACGTCGGCGTCCTCATTCCGGTCGGGGTCTGAGGCAGGCCAGATAGATCCATAGGTTTGGGGTGTTATTTTGTAGCACTCTGGAAGGTCAGAGGAGCGAGCGTTTTCGGGCCCGTGAGTGGGGGGGATGGGCGAGCGGCAGCGAGCGAAGGTTGGCGAGAGAGGGGCGAGGAAGGGGCGGGGACGAGGGGGAGGCGAGGAGGGAAGACGAAGGGGCGACGCGGGGGCGATAGGGTTGGGCGAGGGGGTCGAGGACCCGGACCTTCCAGAATGCTTAAAACATAACACTTCGGACCTATAGATCTTTCTGGACTGCCTCAAACCTCGACAGGAATCAGGGCGTCGACGCCCTGGTGCTATTTTTTAGCCCTCCTGGAAGGTCAGGGTAAATGGGGCTCCCCTGGTGCCCTGCGCCTCGGCTCCGGCGCCGCGGCGGTGCGTGCCGGCCAGGACTCGCGCGGGCTGCACGAGGAACGGTCCATGCGCGAGGAGCTCCTCCGGAGCCTGGACGCGCGGGGGGGGCGCGGGGGCAGCGCCCGGCCGGGGGGCCCGCGCGGGACCGACCCGGGCCCCCCCGCGGCGAGAAGCACTCGTGGCGGGAGGGTCTTCGCGCCATGCTTTCGGCCTCCAGGGGCCCTCGCTGGGCCTCGGGATCGGCAATTGGTCCGACTTGGGATGGAGAGCCGGTCCCTGGGAAGGGGTCCAGGTTCCACTGTGGGTTAGGTTGCCCAAAAAGCACGACGCCGGGGTCTGGGGGCGCGATTCGACAACCGATCCGACCGATGCAATTCGACAGCGGTGCCCGCCGTCCCAGTGAAATCTGATTCTTCGACCCTCCAGCGGCCCCCCTGCGGCCACCTGGTGCATGCACAGCGTGCATTGCGCGGTCGTTCCGATCAAGTTCCGATGCCTTGCCGATGCAGCCTGATTTTGCGGGCAGGATGTGTATACATCTACTGCATCTTGGGGTGTGGAGCCCCTTCACCAGACCCGAGGCCTAGTGGCTATGGATGAGCATCTGGCCTCTAGAGCCTTGTGCATGTCCACTGCGCCTTGGCCCTGTGGCGCCCCTCCCCAGAAGAGTCCAAGACGCCGTGGCTGTGGATCGACGCACCGGCGGGCGGCGGCTTCCTGCTCCCCGGGGAGGCGCGAGGAGGGAGGAGGACGAGAGGGAGGAGGAGGAGGAGGAGGAGGAGGAGGAGGAGGAGGAAGAAGATCAAGAGAAGAAGAAGAAAAAGACAAAAAATAATAATAAGAAAAATAATAATAAGACGAGGAGGAGGAGAGGCGGAGGAGGAGGAGAGGAGAAGGAGGAGGAGGAGGAGGAGGAGGAGGAGGAGAGTGGGAGGAGGAGGGAGGAGAGGAGGAGGAGGAGGAGGAGGAGGAGGAGGAGGAGGAGGAGGAGGAGGAGGAGGAGGAGGAGGAGGAGGAGGAGGAGAGTGGGAGGAGGAGGGGGCGGGATGAGGAGGGAGGAGGAGGAGGAGGAGGAGGAGGAGGAGAGGAGGAGGAGGAGGCGGAGGCGGGGGCGGAGGCGGAGGCGGTGGCGGAGGAGGAGGAGGAGGAGGAGGAGGAGGAGGAGGAGGAGGAGGAGGAGGAGGAGGAGGAGGAGGAGGAGGAGGAAGAGGAGGACCCCCAAAGCGCCCCACGAGACCCCCAAGAGGCCCCCAAGAACCGCACAGGGGGCCCCAAGGGCGCCCGAAGACGCCCCGGGATTGTCCAACAGAGCCCGAAGACAGTCCAAGAGAGCACCAAGACACCCCAAGAGAGCCCCTACAGACTCTCGAGACGTGCCCAGACAGTCCAAGAGGGTTACAGACGCCTCCAAGAGGCTCCCAACATGTTCCCTTGCAGGGCCCCACGAACACCTGACAGCTCACGAGATTCACCATATGTTTTGAGCGGGGGGGTCCCGCTTCGTTTCCTCCTCGTACGTGTCCTCTTTCATCTCTTCCTCCTCGTCCTCGTGCTCCCCTCGCTGTCCTCCCCGTCATCCACGCTGTCATCCTCGTCATCCACCGCCTTGTCGTCGCCATCATCCTTCTCTTTTTTCCCCACGAGACCAAACCGGCAAGATCGGAGCTTCCCGCTCTTGTCCGATCAGGTTTTGGAGAGTCTGCCGCTTTGGGGTTCCAGTGGGCGTGGTGCATGGCTCCTCCTCCTGCTCCTCCCCTGCCTCCTGCCACTTCTCCTCTTCCTCCTCCTCCAACCCCTCGCCCCCAGCGGCCTCTGACGGGCCAGGAGTGCCCAACATCTGTCGACAGAGTCCCAAAAGCCTTCCTCCCCCTCCCCGGCTGGAGCCTCGACGGGTCTCTGGAGCGCACGCCGTCCCCGGACCCCCCCACCATCACCTTTTGATCCGGCGTTGCGAGAGCAGTGCGACGTCGCGGACAATCACGACCCGAGCCCTACAGTCGAGGTCGATTAGTAGGTCGACCCTGCCAATCAAGGGTACCCTTGTGCCCTGTGTGTCGCGACCCGTGCCTCCTGCATTCCTATGGCAATGTGGCCCTCGGAAGGGTCTTGCGTCCTATCGCGTGTCCTATCCAACCAATCCCGAGCCATATATAGACCCCGTGTCTCTGCGGATTTCCCTCGGGCCAGAGCGATCCGTGACATATCTCCGGGGCCCGACCCCGGGCGACAGCCGCCCGTGGGGAACGAACCGGAGGCCGTTTCTTGTTTTCTCAATGTTAAGGTCCGGGGGTGTTCCGTTCGGGGGAGCGTAAGACCCGGGTTTGCCAGGACTCGGGTTCACCATCGTTTTTTGACGAGCGCGCCTCGGATTTTGACGAGGAGGAGTTTCGTGGGATGTCTGCAGCGGGAGGCCTCGTCAAAATGCAGGCTCGGCCTCGTCATTTTTTTGACGACCTCGTCGGGGATTTCCGAGTCCCCTGTACCCAGGTCCTACGTCTCCCCGATCCGTGTCGTCGGGCCCGCCCTCCCCCTCCCTTCCCCCCCGCGGAGCACCTGCACTTTGTCGGCTGCGCAGGTCCGACGGGCGCGCGCGTCTCGCTGGTGCGAGCGGGCATGCGCGGTGCTGCCCAAGCCGACGGGCGAGCGGGCGAGGACGAGCGAGGACGAGGCGGGCCAAGGTCAGCGAGGACGAGGACGAGCGAGGACGAGCGGACTGCCCAAGGTCAGTCTATTGGGACGGGCGAGGGCGAGGATACAAATCCGTTCCAGAGCGTTCCGCAACGCTCTCAGAGCGTCCCAGGACGCTCTGAGAGGGCCGCGGCGCCCGAGGCATGCGCCAGAGCCGCCGGACCTCATGCATGGGGGGGCGACACATGGGGGGGGGAAGAGAAGGGCCCTGTGCCCTTCTGGGGCCCCTCAGGCCTCCTTGCCTTGAGGGGCCCTGCAGGGCCCCCTTTCTGCAGCCCTTGCTGCCCCCCCCATTGATCGCTCCTTCATTCATCGCCGCCTAAGATTTACCCTCACCCACTTCTATCCTCGTCCTGGCTTCGTCGCCAGACACCGAGCGTCGTGACTTTTTCGTGCCGTGACCCCCAGGAGCCTGGACCCCTTCCTGGGGACCGGCTTTGCATCCCGAGTCGTCTTTTTTTGTTCCCGGTCCCGAGGCCCGGCGAGGGCACCCCGAGGCTGAAAACAGCGAGCACATCCCGTTGTGATGGCTTCACAGCGCGACGAGGTCTGGGGGATGAGGGCGGAGGTTTGGGGGTTGGGCGAGGAGGAGGAGGAGGAGGAGGAGGAGGACTTTTTCTCATCGCGAGAGGGTCTGGGTTCGTCTGGGGTGCTCGGCCAGAGAGTGTGCACGAGACGGCCTCCTGCGGCGCCCAGCTCCCGGGGCGCACGGGGAGACGTCAGGAGGGACAACACCCACACAGACACAGTTCGTGCTCGATCCACAGGGAAGAGGGGCAGACATATATAGGAAATGGGGGGTGGAGACGACAGCCCAGAACACATGCGACAAGATTTAACGGGCGAATAACGGTATAAAATAAACTTTTTCGCCGTCGGGGGCGCCTGCCCCTGGGCGGCTGGAAAGTTTATACCCTTACGGTGGCACCGTAGGGGTATAAACTTTCCAGCCGCCCACGGGCAGATGTCCCCGACGGCGGAAAGTTTATTTCATACCGCGCTTCGCTCGCGGAAAGCTGGGACGTCCTGGGGCTCGTGCCTGCTTCTTCGTGTGTCCCTGGGCCCCCTTTCCGGGGGCGGGGCCTGCGCCAGGACCCCCGGCGCCTCGACGAGCCGCGGCGCCGCAGCCCCCTCCGCGACGAGCCCCGGGCGGCGCCCGCGCGGGAGGAGCCGCCGAGGGCGCGAGGCCGCCCGCGCCGCGCCGCCTCACCCCGCCGCTCCACTCCGCCGCCGCCCCGCCGCCGCCCCGCCGCCGCCTCGCCGCCGCCGCCCCTCAGAGAAGGAATCAGGGGCTCCTTTTCCTCCACCCTTCGCCCGCTCTCCCCTCGTTTGGCCTCCTGGGAGGCCCTCGTCGCCACCGCCGGAGTCGCCTCGAGATCCTGGGCCGAAGGCGCCCCGGGAGAGGTCCAGCGTGCAGCGGTATCGGAGCCTTTTGGTTTCCCCATCGCCGGCGCCTCGCCGGCGCCTCGCCGCTTCCGCCTCGCCGCTGCTTCGCCGCCGCTCCGAGGAGGACCTTGTGCCAGTGCCGCCGCCACCTGGCATCGCTGGCACCTGTGCCAGTGCCGCCGCCACCTGCCAGTGCCGCCGCCACCGGGCATATATATATGTGTATATATATATATGTGTATATATATATATATATATATATTGTTGATTTGTTCTTTCTTTTCCGGCGAGGACCGTCGAGGAGCATCCTGGGAGCCTCCGAGCCAAACGAGCACGCGCGAAGCCGAATTCAATGCACAGGGACTGGGCGCCCGGGCGGCGAGGGCCACCGAGGGGGGGGCATCCTGGGAGCCTCGAGAGCACGAGGCCGAAGTTGTGCACGCCCGGAGGGTGGGCGCCCGAGCGGGCGGCACGACCGCGGCCCCGTGGGTCGCCTCCCCCCCGGACCTTCCAGAGTGCTAGAAAATACAGTCGGGGCCCTGAAGAAGGAACCCTTCTCGTTGGGGAGGGGCTCCGTGCTCCTTGATTGCTTCACGGTCTGCCTTGGGTTTTTTTCTTCTGGTTTTCGATGGGAAATCGAAGTTCAATTTGTGGATGAAAGGGGCCTCGTTCCTTATTTCGGGTTCCTTGGGTCAACGCTCCGACTGTAGCACTCCAGACCTAACCAGATCTGCCTGGACGGCCCCAGACCTCGACAGGAATTAGGACGTCGACGTCCTGGAGCCGTTTTTTTTAGCCCTCCTGGGAGGTCAGGCTCGGGCCTCCCTTCGAGGCGCGTCCCACCCACGCCCCGGCCGGCCTGCTGCCGCTGCCGTCCTGACTGCCACCTTAGCCGCTTGCGTCGTCGTCGTGGCCGCTACCATTGTTGTCGCCGCTGCCGTCGTCTTCCGTTGTCGTCGTCGTCGCCGCCGCCGTCGTTGTTGTCGTCTCTATTAGCGCCTTCGCCGTCGTCGCCGTCTCCGCCGCCGTCGTCTGCTATCGCCGTCGCCACTGGCGCCGATCGTCACCGTCGTCGTCGTCGTGGCCGTCGTCGCCTCCTCCGTCCTCGTCCGCCGTCGCCGCCGGCGCGCCGACGAGGCGACGACCGCGGCCCCCCTGGCGGACGCCAGCAGGACCTGCTTCGCGAGGACCGGCGTCGCCGCGGCCATGTTCGGAGGCGGCGTTGCTCAGGAGAGAAAGTTAGACATTGACGCAAACAGTCGTTGACTTCAATACAAGATGTGGACTAGGAGGAGTGGGGGGGAACAGGAACGATTACTCCGACGGAAGGACCCCGCATGAGAATCCTCTGGGCGAATCTGGAAAAAGCCCTCACCGTCGTCCTCGTGGTTGGTGAGGCGTCCTGGCTGTCCCTTCTGCGTATATTTTTTCTCTCCCTGGCGCGGGCCCTCCCCCCACTCCCTACGTTGCCCCCGACCTCGCCCTCTCGTTTTTTTTTTTCGCGCCCCGCCACCTCCGGACGCCAACATGTGTCGAAACCTTGATCAACTAAATCATGCTGGCCTTCTCGCCGATGCCTCTTGGGGCGCCTTGGGTGCCTTTGGGGGGGCTCTTGAGGCGCCTCGGGGGTCTCTTTGGAGCCTCTTGGCGACATCTTGGGAACCCCTTGGGGGCCTCTTGGGGCCTCCTGGGTACCTCTTGGGGCACCCTTGGTAGCCTTGGGGACCATCTTTGGGCAATCTCGGAGGAGCTCGATCAAAGGAAGCGCGCTCCGCAATCAGAGCCTCCCCCAGGATGCCAGAATGTTGCCAACAGATTTTTTGTAACATCAATGATTTGGGCTTCCCTGCCAAGGCCATCTTGAACGCTCCAACCCCTCGCAAAGGGCTCCCTGCAAACCTAGGGGTATGGGGGTTAGGGGACGGGTTGCCCCGTCTCCGAAGGGAGATAAGATGGGTTGGACGAAGACGCGCTCTAAACCAATCATGCCCTAAAGGGCTGGTGGGAATGAGGAACACGCGCATTCAGACGCCCCACCAGACCAGACACTCAGTCCCCAGCGTGCCGCTGGCACGATGTCATAGCGGATATCCACCTCCTGAAGCAAGCGTGCACGCCCGCGCAGTGATTGCATCCAAGTTTGGCAGTTCGGTTACGGCTCTACAGTAGCAGAATAAGGAGGGGGGAGCAGCACAGGGATGAT